ACCATGTAAGAGAAACAGGAGAACCCTTCCCCACCCCATCCCCCTGCCCGCCTCTGTCTTCTTTGCACTGAAAGCCTCCACCTGCAACCGGTGGGAACTACTCCCGTTTTCCCCGTGGAGGTTGGAGTGTGGGAGCACCCTTGCCGTGAGTAGCCCAGTCTTGCCACAGTAGTCCTCGGGCAGCTGTGTACGGAGTCCCCCGGCCGGGTGGGCCAGGCCATGGCATCTGCCCTGGGTGAATCATGTGGCAAGGCTCGTGAGTGAGTGAGAGAGAAGGTATCTGTCTCAGCACGTTGCTTGCTTCTCCCATCCCGCAGTACCCTGTGGACAGTTCATGGATCTCCCCAGAACTCCGGCTGCAGAGTGATGACATCTTGCCCTTGGGCAAGGACTCGGGGCCCCTGAGTGACCCTATCACAGGCAAGCCCTACGTGCCCCTGTCAGAAGCAGAGGAGGTCCGTCTGAGCCAGAACTTGTTAGAGCTGTGGCGGCGGCGAGGGCCAGTCTGGCAGGAGGCCCCCCAGCTCCCTGTGGACCCGCACCGGGACACGATCCTCAATGCCATTGAGCAGCACCCAGTGGTGGTCATCTCTGGGGACACAGGCTGTGGAAAGACCACACGCATCCCCCAGCTGCTGCTGGAGCGCTACGTGACCGAGGGCCGCGGTGCCCGCTGCAATGTGATAATCACCCAGCCGCGCCGCATTTCTGCTGTGTCGGTGGCACAGCGGGTCAGCCACGAACTGGGCCCCTCACTGCGACGGAACGTGGGCTTCCAGGTGCGGTTGGAAAGTAAGCCCCCTGCCCGAGGCGGGGCCCTGCTCTTCTGCACTGTGGGCATCCTGCTGCGGAAGCTGCAGAGCAATCCCAGCCTCGAGGGCGTGAGCCATGTCATCGTGGACGAGGTCCACGAGCGGGACGTGAATACAGACTTCCTGCTGATTCTGCTCAAGGGCCTGCAGCGGCTCAACCCGGCCCTGCGGCTGGTGCTTATGAGCGCCACAGGTGATAATGAGCGCTTCTCCCGCTACTTTGGTGGCTGCCCTGTCATCAAGGTGCCCGGCTTCATGTACCCTGTCAAGGAGCACTACCTGGAGGACATTCTGGCCAAGCTGGGGAAGCACCAGTACCCACACCGGCACCGGCACCACGAGGTGAGGGGACATGCCTGCCCCAGCCTTCCCCGGCTTTCCCTCTGGATTCCCCTCCTCCCTGTCCCTTTGACTTGGTGGCCTAGGGTGAGTTAATGCTTTTGAGCTTCAGTTTCCTTGATAGAAAATAGAATGATGGGCAGGGGAGGGGCATGGTAAGGAGCTTCTGGGCAAGGGTGTGGTGAGGGTTGGTGGTGACCGGGTGAGTGCCTGGGCCGCACTGTCACAGTGTCCTTCCCTGGGGCTGTGACTGTGGCTTCTCCTCCCCCAATCTAGTCTGAGGATGAATGTGCACTCGACTTGGACCTTGTGACAGACCTGGTTCTGCACATCGATGCCCGAGGGGAACCAGGTGGGTGCTTTCCCCTCTGCCCCGGCCCCACCCTGACCTCCACCTGCTGGAGAGTGACAGCTCATGCCTGCAGGGCCCCTTTACAGGTGGGATCCTCTGCTTCCTGCCTGGGTGGCAGGAGATCAAAGGAGTGCAGCAACGCCTCCAGGAGGCCCTGGGCATGCACGAGAGCAAGTACCTCATCCTGCCAGGTGAGAGACAGTATGCATCCTGGCCCCCACACACCAGCCTTGCCCTGTGTCCTGGGGACTGACCCAACTGGGACGTGAGGGGCCTGGGTTTGTGACCAGCCTGCCCTAATTTTGTTGGCTTTTCCACTTATACTGGGCGTATTCTTCATCTGGGCCTCAGTTTCATTAAAAAGGGGTCAAAATCCTTGCCCTGTGCCCTCAGCACAGGGGGCAGGAGCAGTGCCCATAACCAGCGTGTTCTTGCCGCCCACCAGTGCACTCCAACATCCCCATGATGGACCAGAAGGCCATATTCCAGCAGCCACCAGTTGGGGTGCGCAAGATCGTCTTGGCCACCAATATTGCGGAGACCTCAATTACAGTCAATGACATTGTGCACGTGGTGGACAGTGGTCTGCACAAGGAGGAACGCTATGACCTTAAGACCAAGGTGGCACCCATCTCCTGGACCTAGCCAGCCCCTGGGGGAAGAACAAGTTCCGAGGTGGCCCCCCAACCCAGATCAGCCTTGGATCTGCTCTGTGTCTGGAGGAGGCCACACTCATGGGCTCTCGGTGTCCCTGTTGTGAGGGGGGCATTGAGGGGTTAAGGGAGGTTGAAGACCAGACGTGGGGGAGCACTGAGGAAGGCCCGTTGGCGTCTGTGTCACCACTCACCTACCCCCCTCCCTCAGGTGTCCTGCTTGGAGACTGTGTGGGTGTCACGAGCGAATGTGATCCAGCGCCGGGGCCGGGCGGGCCGCTGCCAGTCAGGCTTTGCCTACCACCTATTCCCACGGAGCCGGCTGGAGAAAATGGTCCCTTTCCAAGTGCCGGAGATTCTGCGCACGCCCCTCGAGAACCTGGTGCTACAAGCCAAAATCCACATGCCCGAGAAGACGGTGCGCCAGACGCGGGGCTGGGTGCAGGCTGGGCACGGGCAGGCGCGGGCAGGACCCGGGCTCACGGTGGGCTTTGGCCGGTTCTTGCCGTAGGCAGTGGAGTTCCTTTCTAAGGCCGTGGACAGTCCGAACATCAAGGCAGTGGACGAGGCTGTGATCTTGCTCCAGGAGATCGGTGAGCATGGCAGGGCCAGCCGGGCAGGGGTCGCAGCGTGACTCTCGTGGGCGATTCTGATGCCAGCTGTTGCAGGAGTGCTGGACCAGCGGGAGTACCTGACCACCCTGGGGCAGCGCCTGGCCCACATCTCCACTGACCCTCGGCTGGCCAAGGCCATAGTACTGGCTGCCATCTTCCGCTGCTTGCACCCGCTGCTCGTGGTCGTTTCCTGCCTCACCCGGGACCCCTTCAGCAGTAGCCTGCAGAACCGGGCGGAGGTGGACAAGGTCAGACCCAGCCCTGTCCCGTGGCCCTTTCTTCCTCCTCCCCTACCCGCCCCCACCTTCTGTCCCGAGGCAGCCACCGCCGGCCCTCCCCGTGACCCTAGCGCCCCCTCCCACCCCCTCCTAGGTGAAGGCGCTGTTGAGCCACGACAGTGGCAGCGACCACCTGGCCTTCGTGCGGGCCGTGGCCGGCTGGGAGGAGGTGCTGCGCTGGCAGGACCGCAGCTCCCGGGAGAACTACCTGGAGGAGAACCTGCTGTATGCACCCAGCCTGCGCTTCATCCACGGTCAGTGGGCTTCGCCCCAGCTCCAGCCCCGCCCGGCCCATCCCCCATGGCTGAGGCACTATGAGCGTGTCGTCCCCCAGCCTCGTGGCTTTGGGGGCCGCAGGCTAACCCGCCCCCAACTCCCCAGGACTCATCAAGCAGTTCTCAGAGAACATTTATGAGGCTTTCCTGGTGGGAAAGCCCTCGGACTGCACCCTGGCTTCTGCCCAGTGCAACGAGTACAGTGAGGAGGAGGAGCTGGTGAAGGGCGTGCTGATGGCCGGCCTCTACCCCAACCTCATCCAGGTGCTGCCTCGGGGCGGGCCCGGCGGGCCCCGGCCTCCTCGCCCATCCTCAGCTTCTTGCTCAGTCGCTCCATCTTTTTCTTCATCCTTGCAGGTGAGGCAGGGCAAGGTGACCCGGCAGGGCAAGTTCAAGCCTAACAGCGTCACATACAGGACCAAATCTGGCAACATCTTGCTGCACAAGTCGACCATTAACAGGTGGGAGGCAGGCAGGGCTGGGGAGGAGCAGTGGGTGTGCTCCCCAGGAGGGCAGCCTCACCCAGCCCTGTGTTCCCCAGGGAGGCCACGCGGCTTCGGAGCCGATGGCTGACATACTTCATGGCCGTCAAGTCCAACGGCAGTGTCTTCGTCCGGGACTCCTCCCAGGTGCACCCGCTGGCCGTGCTGCTGCTGACAGATGGGGACGTGCACATACGTGGTGGGTGCTGGCACCCCAACCCCCTACCCGCCACCCCCCCTTGAGGCTGTATCCACTGGGGCCTGGCCTCACCCCTGCCCTCTGCCGCCGCCTCCCTCCCCCAGATGATGGACGCCGGGCCACCATCTCCCTGAGTGACAGTGACCTTCTGCGGCTGGAGGGGGACTCCCGCACTGTGCGGCTGCTGAGGGAGCTGCGCCGGGCCCTGGGCCGCATGGTGGAGCGGAGCCTGCGCAGTGAGCTAGCCGCACTTCCGCCGGGCGTCCAGCAGGAGCACGGGCAGCTGCTCGCCCTGCTGGCAGAGCTGCTGCGTGGGCCCTGTGGCAGCTTTGACGTGCGCAAGACAGCCGATGACTGAGCCCCGTGTCTGCTGGGGCTGTGTACAGAGTGCAAATGTTTATTTAAAATAAAGTTCTATTTATCCCTTGTGAGCATTGCTCTCCGCTGGGGGCTCCTCTCTCAGGGCCCCAGCATCCTGCGCTGCCTGCTGAGGTTCCCAAGCTCCTGCTTATTGCGGCCCCAGGTCGCAGGGGAGGGAGGGGCTTAACTGGTGCAGGGCCTGCGTCGCAGGGGTCACCCAGTCCTACAGCTGCTCCTGCGCCCACGTGGCAGGCAGCCTGTTGGCGACGTCCCTGCCCTTGCAGCTTGGGACAGCAGGTGCTGTGCACGCACTCACCCAGGTCTCCTTCTCTGGGCCAGTGGTACGTGCACAACATGTGTCCTTGTGGAATCTGGTGGCCACCTTCTAGCCTGAAGCCGACTTGGGGGTGAAGTTCCACAGGCAGCTAACTAACGGCACTTGAACCTTACTTAACCCTCAAGGGATCTTGGGTCGTGTGTCAGCCCTGCCACAAGCTAGGACTTTCCCTCGGTCACATCCACAAATTCACAGATGAGAGGCTACGGTCGTCAAGACTGCACGGTGCACATAAGTCTGATGCAAGGTGACGGGCTAGTGGAGGCCAACCAGGCCATACACAAGATACAGGGCCTGCGTGGTGGGACATCACGAGCTTTATTTACTCTTGAAATCGGTACAACAGAATCACAGATTGACACGGGCAGTGGCTGAGCCATAGGCAAACCGGAAGTACAGAAACGTCGCACCCCCAAATGGCTGCAGGTAGTACACAGCGCACAGCGGCCTCTGGTCCCCAGCTCTCAGGGCAGCCTTCTCAGTTTCTCTGGCTTGGGGGACACTTCAGGGGAGCTGGGATGAGCCCCACCCGTCAGAAAATCGACCATTCCGGCCCACCTAGAGCGTGCTCTCCTAGGGTCACCTCTCCCACCCCTACCCTCGGACCCAGAGCCAGTTGTCAGCCTCAGCATCCGTGTGGGCCTGCAGCTAACACGAGGAGGAGGGCACAGGTCCCTTCAGACCCTGTGCTGTCTACGGCTTCATCTGCCACTTCCTCCTGCTGACAAAGCATGGGTGCCCTGATGTCCTTGGCACAGAGTTCTTCAGTCTTTGGCTTGGGGAACACGTTCTCCACAGCCCCCCCCCCCCCCCCCCCGTATGTGCTTGGGGAGCTGGGGATGTGGCATCAAATCTCCCCAAGGAAAATGCTACCTCAGAAGTGGGAGAACCTGCTGGCCCTGAGGCCCTCCCTCTACGTGGAGATCAAATCTGAACCTAAGTCAAGAGCCCCTACCTTCTCAGCTCCAAGGGTCACCGGGAGCAGCGGCAGGAGGACGAGGGGCCGAGTCTGTGGCCACCTCCTCGGGGGCAAGTCTGCACTGCAGAAAATGCTCTTCCGGAGGAGAAGCCCTGGGAGACTCCCGGCCATTTCACTACAAACTGTTACATTTTAATCCTTTATTAGAAACCATGCAAACTTTAATACAAAAAAAAATACAAGTGCAATAAGAATCTTCGTGTCAATACAATTCCCGGGATTTCTCATCATTGCAGCCATCCCAAGACCGGCCCTGGCTGGGACACCCCTCCACAGGCTGGCCTCACCTCTCCCCACTCTCCGGCCAGGCTGTAAGGTAAGGGAGGTGGCCTGTCTCATGCTTTTATTTTTAAATTTCCATACCTGATTCCCTGTCATCCACATGAGTTCTGGACATCTGGGGCTCCCCAGTAACTGAGGGCTCTAGCGTCACAGGCCTGCAAGCCTGGAGGATTTTGACCTCCACAGCCCTTCCCTGTTTCTCCAGCCCTGACCTTGTATCTCCCACTAGATCCCAGGGAATGAGACAGAGATGCCAAAACCAGCCTCTTGGTTAGAAAAGAAAAGCAGCATACACACAAAATACCAGAACAACCAGTCCACGCTCCGACCAGCCCCTAGTGCGCCCTGTGCTCACCAGGCACAGCCCCTGCATCTCCCCCGCCCGGCCCACACTTCTCTGGGGCCCCAAGCTGCCCAGGCCATGGCAGCCCCCGATGCCTGACCTCCCGGCTGGAGGCTTAAGGATCTCTCCCCTCCCTATTTCCTTTAACACCTACTGAGAACTTTCATTTAAACATGGCTTCAACCTGCAAAACTCCTCTACCAGTTTTTAGGTTATTTAAAAAAAAAAGGATAAAACAAGAAAGGGAAGTGTGGCAGCAGCTAGGCAGCTAGGCAAGTACGGGAAGCAGCGGGCACAGGCAGAACCAACCCCTAACTAGCCTGGGGCAGGGCAGCAAGAGGCACCTGGCCCAACCTGCGTGTTGAGCACTACTGTGGGGTCAAGGGGAGAGGCGGCGGCTTAGCGGGCTCCAGGGGACGCAGACAGCACCCTGCCACCACGTGGCCATCCGCTTTCACTCTTCCCTCCAGGTGGAGCCGGCAAGGAGGGCAGGTATGTCAGTTTCTCTTGGGTTTGGTCCGGAAAACCCAAAGACGAGGTTGGAGTCTGGATCCCCCTCCTAGATCCCACGAGATCCCAAGTTGGCCTCCCCACCCCATTCACCTCCCAACCTCATCTGCAGAGCAGTGCACAATGATGGGACAGGAAAGCAGCAAGGAGCTGGGCCCAGGGCAGGGACTGGAGGAAGTGGGGGGGGGGGAGGGGAGGGGCGCCTGCTGCTGCCCTGGGCAAGCAAGGCATGGGGAAGGGGCGGGGGCCTGGAGGACTGCCCAGCACCCAAGCGGTGTGGGGTCTATAGAGCAGCCCGGGTGAGGGAGCCAAGGGCCCGGGTGCCTGAGCTGGGGCCGCCAGGGAAGTGGGGGGGACGGGAAACAATGTCAGCCCCGTGGTCGGTGCGAGCCCTGGCGTTTGCCCGGAACGTCAGCCTGTAGGTCTCAATCTGCAGTGACACGGGAGGAGGGAAGGGGAGGGGGAAACAAGGGACACAAGAGGGGGAACACAGGGGACGGAAGACGAGACCAGAATGTCATCATTAGATGCCTGGAAAATAAAAGGTTGCTTGGTTAAAATTTCGGCCACACTCCAGTCAAAAAAAAAAAGGAGTTTCAATTCGCAGCCAGTGGCGGGGCCCCCGGCTGGCCCTCAGGCCAAGCCCAGCCACTTACTTGTCTCCTGGATCTGGCTGTCCAAGGTCTGGGCCTCCCTTTGGTCACCACCCCCTGCCAGGGTGGGGTGGCCACTGAGGCCACTGGCTGAAGTGGGGGCGCCAGCTTCAGGCGCTGCCTCAGGGCTGGCCAGCTCCTCCCCAGCGGGGGGGCCCGGACACGGAGGGGCCTCGCTGCCACCGCCCTCAGTCTACAATGAAACAGTGGGGGAGACAGTGCAGGGTCAGTCGGGGAGGAGGTGGGATGGGTGATGGTGGGTTTCACACACAGCCCCTCCCTGCCCCCCGCCCCCCCGCCCCCCCCACTGGATTTAGGAACAGTCATCTGGAGACTCTAGACCATGTACTCCCCACCCCTTCCCTGCCTGTGAGAGGATCCCTGGCTTGGGCGGCCGGTATAGGGCAAGAACACAGCCCCGGGCCCAGCATGCAGTCTGGCTAGTGACACACCCCGGGGGGACTCCTCTGTGAAGTGCACAGTTTCATGCAGTCTTTCTGAGGGGACAGGTGCGGGCTCCTCTACAAGGCCAACACCAAACAGCCATGATGTCTGATCGCTGGCGAAAACCCTGGGGACGATCTCTAGACAGCGGGTCTGGAATCGGTCAGGAAGCAGGGGCGCTGCAGGCCGGTTAGGGAGCTCTAGGAGCTGGGAGTCAGTTCCCGAGGGGCGCGGCTCACCACCTCCGACCCAGTGAATCCCAGACCACACCTGCCACAGAACGCGTCCTAAAGGGGCTCTCTTGGGAGCTCGTGGGGCAGCCCAGCCCATTCATCCACCCATCCCCGGACCCCAAAACCGCTTCTGTGCGGGACACGCTTCCAGAGCCTGGGGACACAGGGGAGGGAGGAAGGGGTCCAGGGAGGGGTGACCCAGGGAGACTCTGGGGCCTGCAGGGCTTCACAGGAGGAGGGTGGGGTGGACAGAAGGGTGAAGGCCAGTGGGAGGCCACCGGAGCCCTGGAACACCCCAAAGGTGGCAATGGAAGACTATAGTGATTTCCAATCAGAAGAGTGAAGGAGACAGGCCTCTGTATTAGAAAAACAATTTCAGAAAATAATTAAGGGAGATGACGTGAATAAAGAAAAGAACACAAGATGTGGGGTCAGAAAGGCGCAGGTATAAACCCTGGTCTGCACATACTTGCCATGTGGCTTTGGACTAGCAACTACACCTGAGTTAGCGCTCCTCCCTACCGCCCCCTCCGAGGACAGACTGGGGAGCAGCTCAACGGTGTGGAGGCATGAACTGAGAACGTGTGACAGAGCCAGGACCCCACACATTCACAGAAGCCAGTCAGGCCTTGAACCAGAGCACTGGCGGAAGAGGGGACAGAGGCTCGGCTGGGCATCGGATGCAGGAGCGAAGGCCCCCACTGCTGCTCTAGTGCCCTCTCCCTCGCTCACCTTCCCCTGAGCAGCTGCAGCTGTGGTCATGCTCGGAAGCCTCCAAGGTGCCACCCCGTGTCCCCCCGCAAACACCCAACAACATGGAAAGAAGGACAGACAGCATCTTGGCACACAAAAGATCTCACAGTGCCGTGGAAGGAGGGAGGGAGGGAAGGAGGGAGCGAGGGAAGGGAGGAGAGGCCCAGCCAGCCCCAAGGGTGGGAAGTCCTGCCCACCTGAGCCCCGGCTACAGCAGTTTCGCCACAGGCAGGTGTCACTGGGAGCTGCAAATATGCTATCCTGCTCCCAGGCCCAGAATGGAGCCCGGCATGGAGCCTGGACCCACACCCCCTCTCGTGAGGTAGCTGGGGAGAACCATGCCTTGTGGGGGTCCATGCCCCCGCCCACAGTCCCCTTGGAAATGGCTGAGATGGGCTCAGAAAGTGAGGAGGGCCATGGCTGTCAGTAGAGGTTCTATCTCCAGTTGGACAGGTGAGAAGCAGCTGGGCTGGGGCCTCTTTACCTCTCCTGCCTCACTCAGGACTGATGAAGGACACTGGGAGAACACAATGGTGTGGGTGACACAAGATTCCTGAAGATACTGAGGGGCGGTGACAGGTGCCCAGTAGCTGGGACCCAAACTCCTGCTGCATAACCATCCCCACCCTTCCCCAGCCATGTCCCCCTGCTGACCCACTCACTACCTTCACGGCACCTCCTGCAGGCAGATGGCCCACATTATCGAGGGATCCCACCTTCGCCTGGGCCTTCTCCTTGAAGTTCAACTTCTGACTTTCAATCTTGACATCTCCTCCACCTGGTACCAAAATAGAACCAGTCACACAGGCAAAGCCAGGCGGCTGGACCAGGAGTCCTAGCTGGGCCAAGGACTGGCCACGTGCCAACACAGAAATGGGGAACGTGGGGCCCGCTCCCAATGGTCCCAAGCACAGAGGAGGAAAGGACAATTGGACATGCTTATCAAGCAGGGCTAGTCTTCTCAAAGTCAGGCTGACAGTCTGCAACCGGCCAGCAGGAGCACCTCCACAGAGAAGACAGACACCCTCAGCCCCACCGCAGGCCCGCAGCACAGCCTCCAGCCACACGTCTAAAGGTGCCGAGACGGTGTCTGCTTCGGATTCTCTAGGTAAGGTCACAGCCCACTGACCGGGTGGCACAGGGCACCCGGCTTCCTTGCAGCGGCAAACGCCCTGTCCGTCAGGGCCCAGTGCGCTCGTGCGGCTGGGGAGGGAAGGTGGCCTGCGCACAAGGGCAAGGCTGGTTCGGAGCTCACAGCCACAGGGTGTGGGGCCACAATGCTCGCACAGGCCCACTCCTCTGGAGTGCCCGCGTCACAAACCAGAGCACCCAACTTTGTGCCAAGCTGGCCAGCTGTCCTCCTCTCCTGCCCACCCCTCCCCACCACCGAAACGCCTGGCCTCACGTCAGCCAGCGGCACCGGGGAAGGCGGCATCGCGCAACAGTGGGTTTTCCAGATAATGGGGGAGATGAAGCTTAGTTCAGCCCCAAACTGTTCTGACCCTCTTCTCTTAAACAGAACGCATTCTGCCCAGAGTTCCTCGCCTTCTCAAGTGGCCCCTGGTGCCCGACCTCCAAGGAGCCAGCTCTTCCAGCCCTGTGCCTGCTGCTGCAGCGGAAGTGCGCTAGCTCGGGTCTGCCGTCGCCCGGAACCAGGACACGCAGGCCATTGGTGTGGCAGGCGAGGCGGGGGCGCACGGCCCCAGCAGCAAGACCCTCACCGAGGCCTGGGCAGCACTGCCCAACAACTCTGTCCTACGGGAGCTCGCGGCTGGCGCCCTGCTGCCTGGGAATGCCCGCTATTCCGAGTCCAACTGCTCCCGGTGCTCACGGGGTGCAGATGGCAGCCTTTACCACCAGCTCCTCAGATGCGCCTGAGAGGTTAGCGCCCGGGTCCCCCTCCCGGACAGGCATGGCTTCCGCTGCTGTCCCCTGGGGTGTCTCCAGGAATTCTTATGGAATAACTAAAGCACAGGGGGCAGGCCCAGCCCAGGCACACTGGGGGAAGCAGGGGACAGCACTCACCAGGTTTGTGCTTGATGTTAGCCTTGGACCCACACTTGGAGGAGACTTTAGAGATGTCCACCTTCTTATTCTGAATCTGAACCTGAGAAATAAACCACAAAACATTAGTGCCTCAGAGAGAGAGGGTGATTTCAGGGCCAGACCTGTGTTCCCTTTATAACCTCCACATTCAAGTTTCTTCTCTCCCTGTGTAAGGCCCTACCTCAGGGTGTTCAAGGTCAGGCTCTCCTCTCCAAGTGCGTAAACGAGCCCTTCATCCATCCTGTCACCCCTGCAGCTTCTGAACTCAACTCCCGCCGGACCAAACCAATGTTCTCACATGCTCCACAATGTTCCCCACCCTGTCCGGGCACCTGCCAGGCAGATCTTCTCCCGTTTCTCTGGAGCCCCATCTCCTGAAATGTCCTTTTCTTCCACCTGAAATCTCACCCATCAACTCCTGGCCCAAAGATAACCTGGGATGTTGTTTTGGTGTTTGCCTCTTAGTTCGTTTCAGTGCATTTTCCCCTCCATGGCTGACAGCACAGATTTCTATGTATGTGTCTGTGATTTTGTATTCCTGCTTATTAATTCACATGACAAGCATTTTCCCCACAAAAGTTGAGAAATGTTAAGAAGGGGCCACATAATAATCCATTCTGTAAGATCTTATATAAACCTAACCTATGCCTGATACAGAACATTTAGGGTTTGCTTTTCTTTTTCCCCTAATTTTTCACCATTAAAACCACGGCAGCAATAAATATGTTTGTGAACAGAAGTCATGGCAATTCTGATGACCTCTCAAGCAAGATGCCCAGAACTTCAGTTATCGGGTCAAAGGTTTGGGCTGTTTTAAGGTTCTTGAAGCATGAGGTCGGTTTTCCAGAAATGTGACAACGGACACCCACCAGGGAGCTTGGGTGTTTGTCCCCTTACTCCCCCAGCCCTGGTCATTCCCATTAAAAACAGTACGGTGCTCCTCCCGTGAGTGGCTGAAGGTGATTTCTGAAAACAGTTCGCTATTTACTTGACCCAGAAAACCCTACAAAATCACAACAGGTTCAACTCTTCAACTCTTAGTCTTCACTTTAAGAACACATGTGAAACACTGCCCAGGCCATCAAGAATGTGCCATGTATTTGAAACGCCACAAAATATCTGAATGATGTCACTTTGTAGAAGCAACGTGTGCCATTCTGTCACTACAACAGTGGAGGTGGTGATGTGCCCAAGCCTACCAGCGGGGCTGGACACCGTGTCGGTGCCCCAAAGAGAGTGCGTAATATTTACTGCGCATGTTTAAAAATGCAGAGAGTACTGCTGAACTTATGGGTTTAGATGTAGGTTCCCTGGTCACTGAACACATCCAGGTGGACAAAGCCCCCAGACACGGCATAGAACTTACAGGGCTCGTGGTCAGATTGCCACGGCAAGGTGATCCTTACTGAAAAAGAACAGATTATTCCTAAACCAGAAGAGGACGTTGCACAGAAAAAAAAAAAAGAAAGATATCTCAAGAGAGACTGAAGGAACAAAAACGTATGGCCTGGGAGTAAATTCTGCACAAAATAAATGCAAATAAAAAGTTAAAAAAAAAGAAAACCCACCATCAACAAAATTCTGCTCATTTATACATGATAGAGGCCCAGTTCTGGTTGCTCTGCTCGTTATGAAGGGCACTGAGCATCCGCACCACGTGCCCAGCGCAGTGGTGTGTGTTTGCAGTGCCCACCCGGCAGCCCGAGCTCCGCACCTGCAGTGGCTGTGCAGGACTACAGGCTCCATGAGGCCTTTCACAGACCTGCCCTTCTGCCCACATCTGGTGAGCAATCAAAAGGATGAATGGCCTTTTATCCAAATGAATCCCATTGGGGTTGGAGGCTGCTCTGGGTGTCCTCTACTTGGCCCTACTTTTAAGGTGGCCCTGCCAGCAGGCGGGGTTTCATCACAATGCCATCCAATGGCTACCTTCTAGGACCCCGTCTTCCTTTCTCCGGTGTCAGGGGATACGGTTTCTATTGTACTGCGAGAGGATACACGTGACGTCTGTGTCCACTCACAGCCCAGGGACTGGCACAGAGTAACTTCCTGTAATCATCAGCCTGCCTGATCCATCCTCACTCGTTTCTAGAACTCTGCTCATACCATTCCCTAGCCGAGCAAGCCCACTGCATGCTCCTCCCCATCCTTCAAAGCTTAGGTCAAAGGTCACCTTCTTCAAAGGCTCTCGCTCCACTCCCCTCGACTTCATGCCACCCTGCGAAGGGACATCAGCACCAGCAGGACGCTACCGCTTCCGTGTTCAGTAATCGTTTACAAATACCTATCGTCTCAACCCGACGCCTCCACTTTGTCTCACGTTTCCAACCAGGCCGCGATTCTCTCCAAACAGGAACACGGGGCAGTCTTTTCCCCAAACAAACATCTGCCAGCTACTGAGGCCAAGACACGTGTCCTGCAGCAACGGCAGCAAGCTCATCTCGTGCCATCCTGAGACGCCTGGGAGGGGCTCCAGGGGTCACCTGCCAGGGTCTGGAGCCCGCACATTTCCTGAGGCTGTTCTGCAACTGAAGCCACGGCTTCTCTGCCTCCTGCCGGGCCCTCGGGTAGGAACAGCTGGCGAGGGGGAGACTCTGCTTTGCAGATGCATCCCAGCCAGTAAGTGAGGACAGAATGGGAGAATGAGTCCCGCCACGGTCCGCCCCTACTCAACACGTGGGTGTAGGCGCTGGCCAAGGGGCGAGGGGGAGACAGAGAGGACCAGACAGCGAAACACGATATGCCTCCTGACAGAACCACCACCACTACCTATGAAAGTCTTGCAAAAAGCTGGGGGCGGGGGGAGGGGGGGTCAAACCTAAATCAATTTAAAGGGTATTGAGGGACAAAGGAATATACTAAACCAAACCATGGGGATATAACAGCAGAACCCAGATTCTAGGACAAACCACTTGCTTTACTCATTTACAAAATGCTGCTACAAACAAATATTGAAGGGAGCTTGCAGAGTAAAAGAAACCAACCAACCACAATTTATGGCCCTTACTTGTATTCTGATTCAAATAAGCAAACGTGTTTAACATGTCAGTAGGGGTTTTACACACACATGTACATTAGAGTTATTTTAAAGTTATAAATCAACTATTTACGATGAATGATGTATCTAGGACTGGTTTCAAAACAATCAGGGTGGGAACACGCAGAAGATAAGACTGGCCACAAGGAGGGGTGCCTGGCTGGCTCCGTCGGTGGAGCCTGTGACTCTTGATATCGGGGGTTGTGAGTTCGAGTCCCACTTGGGTGTAGAAATCACGCAGAATAAATAAATAAAATTAAAAACAACGATTGGCCACAAGGATAATAAATGAAGCTGGGTACGTTGTAGGATCTTTTTCTACTTTTGTATGTATTTGAAAAATCCCTGTAATTAAATGTTTTAAAAAGCCGAACTGTGTTCCCCTTACTTGACCCACCACCTCCGAGACGTTGCTCTGCCTCCCGAGGCTGGTATGTAGAGAATCTGCAGTAACTGCCAAACAATCCTCCCCGTCCTTCCCTCCCCCGGCCACGGGCCTCCACGTGCTGCTTCTCTGGCCTCTGACGTGTTTCTCAAATGTCCTCTCCCTGGTGAAGGATGACAGCCAGCAGAAGCCACGCCCGTCCCTGTGGTCCTGTGGCTACACACCAGCCCCGGCGAGTCTGGCACCTTGCTCCAGCCCTTTCTGCAATCCGCCCCGCTGGCCCGTGAGGACCCGCAGCCTGCTGCGGACAGCAGAGCGTGCCGTTGAGATGGCACTGCCCCCAGGTTTCAGAACCCATGATGCGCATGTATCCCCCCCCCCACGGGGGTGGAATGGAAGAAAAATTGTCACAAAATTTTAAACTGGGGGAAAATCTGCTACATCCCCTGCCCTGCCTGATGTCCTCCTGGCTCTCAACAAAGGGGACATTTGTACGTATATGGGGGCGCTGGGCAGCACTAACTGGCATCCTGCTCCAGCCTCTCATTTGGGTGGTAACTTCAGAATCTCCATACAGGAGGGGATGGGGTCTGCGGGTAACATGTGACGCTGTTCTACCCTAGCCAGCCCGCCCGTTCTTTCTCAGCCGCGTGTTTATCGGTGGTGACTTTACGGAGGTGCTGAGGGAAGCGAGTTCGGTGCCTCCGTCAAGGCTGTTTACCCTCATCCCCCCACCTGGAGATGCTGCTCACAGGCAGACTTCCTAATGCGAGGCTGTTTAAGGAGGCCTCCTACGATAAAATGCTTTTTTCTTTTTTTATGATTTCTGTTAATACAAGTCTATTTCTCATGAGCTCTAGTTGCTGTCCTATCACTATATTCTATGTTTAAAAAACACTGTGCTGCCAAATGAATTTGGGAGATTTAGACCTACACATGCAAGGACATTTGTGCTTAGAGAATTGAACAAGTTCAGGATCTTTTTTTTTTTTTTTTTTTGAGAGAGAGAGAGAGACAGCATGAGCAGGGGAGGGTCAGAGAGAGAGGGAGACACAGAATCTGAAGCAGCTTCCAGGCTCTGAGCTGTCAGCTCAGAGCCCGACGCGGGGCTCGAACCCACGAACCGTGAGATCATGACCTGAGCTGAAGACGGACGCTTAACCGACTGAGCCACCCAGGCGCCCCTAAAATGCTTAAAAAAATCTTGTTGGAAGTCACATGTAGGCAGTGTGCTAAGACTGTAAGTGATGGATAAATGATGTCTATTTTGGGGCACCCGGGGGCTCAGTCTGTTAAGTGTCCAACTCTTGGTTTTGGTTCAGGTCATGATCTGATGGTTCGTGAGTTGGGGTCCTGTGTTGGGCTCTGCGAGGACACTGTGGAGCCTGCTTGGGATTCTCTTTCTCCCTCTCTCTCTGTCTCAAAACAAACTTTGAAAAAAAGTAGGTGTCTATTTTCCTAGCTTGTACATACAACTGCACACCATACATCAATGCATTTCTGGGTCACACACACAATGACCAATTCCTTCAGAGTCTCTGCTCACCTCCTGTTCTCATCTAGGCCAAAAGCCTGAAAGGAAAGGCTGAGGCCGGCACCTAGCTGGGGCCCTCATAAGCTGGATCTTTATCACCTTACCCAGATACTGTCTTTAAACGCTTCACCCACTTCAGCTCATTGCACACCAGGCTGGCCAACGTGTGGGCAGCTACCAGGCCGGCCCAGTACACCCCACTTGTGTGTCAAGGGTGAGTTTTCTGCCCGTGTTAGAAGAGCCAGTGGTGTGAAGTGACTGGGACGGAGGTGCAAGAAGGGGCCTTCTGTGTGGGGCAAGACAGGGCTGCCCTGAGGCTGATTCCTCACAACAGGATGGCCGGGCAGGGGGAGTATTTGTAAGCCACAGGTAGGATGGCATGGCCACTGAGGACACAGGAGGGACAGAGCCTGAAAATGAAAAGGGCGAGAAGAGGAGGACTCAGCCCAGTTCAGGACAGTAAGGAGAAGGAACTGAATGAAGCCTGGAGAGAGCAGGACGGGCTCCATCACTCTGGGGTGGGGAGAGAAGCAGGCGAGAAGCCGTGAAGGCAGAGGCTGCATACGGTGGCCCTGTAACACACCTCTGGCACGTGCTGGGGTCCCACCTGCCTGCGGACTGTCACCGGGACACGTGGAAGGTGAAGAGGGTGTTCTCTAACGTTAGACCAGGGCCTGTTAGCTGGAGTCACCATGCCCCCAACACAGAGTGTAGGGCTGGCAGCGTGATAAAAGGTTGTCCAGATGGAAGGAGGAAGGGGACGAAAAGAAAAGGAGGGGCTGAGGGAGTAAGAGGAGGAAGGACTCAGAACAGGGGAAAGTGGGGGACAGAGAGCAGAAGGGAAAGAGAGGTGAAAAGGTGCCAAGGGGTGTTGGTCAGGGGTTCCCCAGAAACAGCCGGTCCTAACACACTGGAGCGCTGAGGCCTCCCCTCACTTGGCTGGCCTGTGTCTGGAAGAAAGCCTCGGGCCAGGCTGCCGTGGTCCTGGGAGCGCAGGTGGCCCTCTCCCCGGTGCCCCACGGGGCTACGGCTCAGACGCCAGCTGTCCAGATCTCATACTTACATTACCACCTCCAGGGACATGCTTAATATTGTCCTTGGAACCACACTTGGACTGAATATGGCTGTAGCTCACTTTTTTGGAGACTATCTGGACCTGGAGTGTTAGAGAACAGAAAAAAAAACAACACAAAGGGAGAGGGCTGGTTAGAACTGACACAGGGCAGGCAGTGAGTCCACACGTGATCACAATGACCGACACAGGGTGCTGTTACAAGTCCGCCCCCGCCTGCAGAAGAGCAGCTGTGGAAAAGCACAGGGGACGGAGTCTGACGAAGCAGGACAGGGAGCGAAGACACTAACGAACAACACAAGCACAGAAGCAGATGTTGCAAAAGGGCTCTGCGGGCCTCATCACTGCTCTCTGGGGACGGGCGGTGGAGTACAAGGCCCAGCCACCAGCAGGCCCCTGGATGTGTGCTCAGGCGTCCCCAACCCCCCCCCCCGACCCCACTGAGAGCTGAGGCACACAGTGTCCTGGGACTCCTCTCTGCAAGGATCCTGCTCATCCAGACTGGTGTTCACTGAAGCTTGGCACTTGCCTTAAATCTGAGGCTGGGAACTGTGGCAGCCAGACCCACTCTGAGAGGCAATGGCAGCTCAGAGAAGTGCTGCTAGGGCAGCTGGCTCACAGGGCACAGACCTGATGCTAACAGGAAGGAAGGGACATCCTAGTTCAGTTATAAATGCAGATGGGCCAGAGGCCGCTGGAGCTGCCATGCAGAATCTGGACGCCAGGGGGAGAGCGGGCCTCAGCTTTGGCAGCTCCACACTCCATTGCGTCTCAGGGCTTGAGAAAGCACAGGACCAGATGAGTTTCTGGTCTACATTTTTTTTCAACTCAAGGGTATAACACCTCTTCCATCCTCCAGATGCCCAGTCCTGTGCCCTGTGAGTTTTGTGCGCAGAGAGAACCGGCTCCAAGTGGGGCTGCAATGATGCACAGGCACACTGTCGTGTTTATGAATGGCTCCCCCTGGAATGCAGCCACACAAAGGCCCAGGCTCTGAGGGCTGGAACAAAGAATTCTTTCTGAGCCTTCCCAAGTAGAAACAGTTGCCAGCTTCCTTCCTTCCTTCGCTTCAGAGCCTTTCACAAATGAAGCAGGCCCCAAGCTGAAGAGCTTTCCACTGAACAGAGAAATCCACCCTGAGCAATTCCAGCCCAAACACCTCACTGTTTCGTGCCTTCTTTAAAATGTCAGTGATGAATAACTGGTTAGCAAACTGCTTCCCAGTGAAACCCTGCTCTGAATCAGAGACCTCCAGGACCTCCAGGAGTCACCCGGAAGCCTCACCGAAGGTACAAATTCCTTGGACTGAGACTGTCCATCCTGGTCCCTAAGGGCTGGAGGTTAAGGCTTCTCCGCAGTCCCTGGATGGAGAGATGACCTACCTGCCATAGCTAAGGGAAGAAGGTTCGCACAGAAGGCAGGAGAGGCCTGCTTCCGGGGCGTGGAGGCATGAGGAAAGAACCCTGAGTTCCTGCTTACCTGCGCCCTGTAGGTGGTGTGCAATCCCTAGGCTGAGTGGGTTTCCAATGGGAATGAGCACCCAAACTTTCAGTGAGGAGGTGACAGGGGGAACCAGGGTAAATGAAGCCATCTCCATACCCCGCATGTTATGAAATGTTCCTTCTAGCTCAGTTACAAGCACCAGGGCTCCAGGGTTCCAGGCACTGCAGAGTAACTGATCCCATGTCTCACTGAGGAAGAACCTGGATGCCGTGTGTGTTTGCACACAAAACGGGTGGGTTTTACATCAAGGTCAGTATGAAGGAAGTGGCTTAAAGTTTTTGGATCCATTTTATCCAGCTGAATAAATATTCCCCATAAGGTAATGGGCTCCCAAATCTGTTACCTGTCAAGGCTAACAGAAAACTTTTTTCTGATGGCTAAGTCATCAAACAGAGAGGAGGGAATGAGGGGGTGAAATAGAAACTGGTTAAGGACAGGAAAAAAGTGCAATAGAAGGGAAAGTGACTTAGGCTGGAAGAAACAGTTTATCATCTTTCACCTTCAAGAGGTAAAAGTCTAAATAAAACTCACTTTCCCAGCAGTTGGTTTCTGCGCACTCGCAATTGGACCGGCTGTTTTAGTGACTGCATTAGGTTCAGGCTTTCGAGCTGTAGCAGCTGCCTCTGTTTTTTTCTCTATTTTGGCCTGGATGGAGATAAAGGGAGGGCAAATTTCAAACCGAGAGGGTAAGAGCCCAAATGCCAAGAAGGGAAGAAAGCTGTAGGAGACTCAAATCCAGGCCAGGCCACCATGCAGAAGCAGGTCACCCTTGCTCCTAGGAGAAAACCATTTCCCAGAGCAGACCAGCCAGAGGGAGGAGCTGCAGACCAAAGTCTTGAGACATGAGGAAGAGATCAAGACACCATTCACGGAGAGAAGGCAGGAAGGAGGGCTAAGTTAGTGATTTCTCTTCTGAGTGTGTGTTTTCCAATCACAGTGCTCCCCCACTCAAATGTCCTTGCCCCAAGCAAGCTGCTGTAGTCACAGGAGCCACTACTGATGAGGGAAAGTGCCACACCACTCAGGTACATTGGAACAGAAAATCACTGGATCACCAGGCAGAGTCACTCAACTCCCCACCAAGACCTCCTGCAATTTTTGCCCAAGGAAAGCATAAGAAGAGCACAGGAAGGGAGAGATGGTCACACCATCTGCATACACCAGAGCCACAGACTCTTAGTAAAAGCAACTCTTAGGCCCTTATTCCAGACTAATCCCAGTTTCCCATCAGTGTCTTCCAACAGTACCAAGATTGTGCCTCATTCTGGGCCCTGTTCAATGTTCTAAAGCCTCTGCGTTGACGCATTTTAAGGATCCTACCCTGAGTGGGAGGTGTGGTGGTTTAAGTGCTAGAGAATCACATAGGAAATGAGGCCACTGCTCCATGGACTGAAACTGGGACTTTTGCCCCCACCTTTTCCTACACCACCTCCCATCCCTGCTAACAGCTGACAATTCAGCGGTGGATGTAAACAGAAAATCCTTATGAGTGAAGCGCCCTGCCCTCAACAGCACTCTCCCTTCTGATAGGAAGCACTCAGCCCTTCTGAGGATAGCAGGAGGCCTGAGTGGCAAGGCATCCTGACCACAAGGAGGCGCTCTATCTTCTTTCAGGCAGACATGCCTCTCCCCACCACCACCACCACCACGGGCCAGGTCCTGAGGCTCACAGTGCTGGGGTGAGCAGCACTTACTGTTCTTACTTACTGTTCTGTTAAGTAGAAGAACTCTTTCGCCTCCAAACAAAAACATAAGCCTAAACCCCAAAATACACACCAGGAGCCCCCCTGATGGAGATGGGAGAAGACAGCCTGCTGCCGGACACGGAGCCCAGGCTGCAAGTCCATGACACTGAACCCGACGTCATGACAGCCCTTCTGCTTCGGTGGGCCCAGCAGTGCGGCGTGGCAGGGAAGGAAGCGAGGGCTAGCATGCTGAGGACCACAAGCTCCAGGACTTACCCGGCCTCCTCCAGGCTGATGCTTGATGTTTTCTGTGGAGCCAACCTTGGAGCGGACGTTCTTCAGATCAGGGGTGGAAGCATTGGTGGACAGGCGGCTCAGCTTCGGTGCAGAGGAGCTGGGCTTGGCTGACGTGGGCTTCTTGTCCGAGGAAGGAGTTCCAGAGGGCCGAGGAGGGGTGGGTGTGGCCCTGGCTCGGCCGGGGGCCACCCCTGCTGCTGGGGCTGCCCCGGGGACAGTGGTGTTCTTCTTCACCAGAGTGGTGGAGATGCTCTTAGGGCGACTCAAGTCAGCTGCAAAGGAGTGAAACATGACAGGGGCTCAGCAGGGAGAGAGCAAAAGGGAGTCTGGAAGCCACAAAGAGGTAGGGGTTTAAATTAGGGTCCTAGGAGGTGGGGGATGGGTGTCACCTGGTGCAGACTTCGTAGCCGTCTTCTTCATGTCTGCAGGCTTTCCCTCAGTCTTGATGGCTGCACAAACATACACTTTTTACCATTTAATGTTTAATAAAGTGACTTAGTGAATGGCTCATCCAGTACTGAGATTCACTCATTCATTCAACAATTACTAAATGTCCCCTTTGGGCCATAGGCTGTGCTCGTCTCTGGATACATTAGGAGTAAGTTAGACAGCCAGGTAAAGACGGTGCCCTTATGGAGCACACAAGGCCACGCGCTGTATCTTACTCTTTTTCTACAGTCTTGACGGTGCTTTCCACATGGCCTCGGAAGTGGGTTACCAGTACATGCCTGTGGAACTGAACGACTGACTTCCTATCATGTAAGCCCATGACCACAGTGTGCTGAGTGCTGTGAAGTTACTAAGAAGGGAATAGTAATCCTGCCTGGGAATTCATGAGAATCCCTCTCACTCAAGAGTTTTCTGAACAGACATACTTGCAAACCTCAAGTGAAGATCAAGGGTCCACGTGCCAGTGTTCCCCACTGAGGACTGGTGCACAGACACACACAGCTCTCTGTGCTGCCAGCTGGGGCAAGGCCAAGGCCCCCACCTGTGTCCCCGCTGGTTCCGGTGGGAGGGGAGGGTGACAGTACTCACTGGTGGGTCTCTTGGGCACAGGCGTCGGGGGGCTCCTGCTGCTTGGCCCAGCTGAGGCAGGAGTGGCAGCTGCTGTGGCTTTTGGAACGGTCTGGGTGCTCTTGGCGCCAGGCTTGGGGGCTGGGGCAGAGGCTGGCTTGGATGGGGAGGCCCGCTTCTCAGGAATCTTCGCCTCTGCAACAGGCTGGTAACAGGGAAGTGGGAATAAGAGGCACAGGTCGAAGAGCCCCAGGAAGTCATGTTAAAGGACATCAGAAAACAGGGGTACTATGGATTTGGCGCTTATTGGTAGGAAAATTTTTACTGCTGAGACCTAAGTCCTTCAGACAAAGTGAGAGCTGGCCACGTAGGGTGCTGGGCCACGTAGAGTCAGGAAATGGGGGAGTCTAACTATCTCAATCCAACTGAACCATGAGAATGAACATACCAGACAAGTATACCACATCACAAATGGAAGTCTGCCACAGGACTGAATGTATTTAACACATTAAATACGTCAGTAATTAATGACCCACTAAAGACATAGAGTATACATACATAAACACAAAAAAAATTAAAAATTATGTTTAAGCAAATTCAGTCACTCTTTTAGCTAAGATGTACCCAAGGAGTGCTGAGCAGGATAGGGCTGTGGATGGAGAGAACATTGGCCTAACGAGTCAGATCCGAAACCTGAGCTCCAACCCCAGTCAGGCCCCCAACTCACAGTGTGTTTCTGAGAAAATCACAGAACCTCTATGGGCTTTATTTCCTCATCTGGATAAAGGAGGTCAGGACCAGAGGATCTGTGGGGACCAGAGCACAGAGACGACGAGAAGAGGGCAGGCGGAGGGCACAGGCCTGAACACCAGAGAATGAGAAGCACTGATGTCGGCTATGGCTGACAGCAAAACGGAAAATTCTCTCAAGTGCAGATGCTTGGCATCTGGGCCACTGTCATTCCTTTTCCGTGGAAGTGGGGCATGGCCTTGCTACTAAGGAAGGGAAGGGAATCAATTTAGCCTGGTTTCTACAGGAATAGGAGAAGAACACACTCATTTTCAATAAGCAGAAGTACCAAGTTACTCAAGAGAGGAAGCCAAGTCACAGACACAGTGGATCCAACTCTTTGGCTCCAAGAGAAATGGCCACACAGGGCAGTATGTTGGTGGAGACCAGCTGCTTCATGGAAAATCAGCTTAGGAGAAGCTCAGAAATTAAGGGCTGGCATCCAGTTAAAGCCTAACTTTGAAAATGTGGGGTAATGGACACTTTACAAAGTCCCTGAAGTATGGTACAGGGAGCCCTCAGGCTGGAGTCAGAGCTGTTCAGCTAGTGGCTCTGTTCGGAATGTCTTGTGGATTTTGTGCAGAGGGGTTTCCTCCCTCTGAGGAATTGAAGGTCTCCTTCAAATTCTCAATATTATGACTATGATTCAGAATAATCTAGTAGGGTCTTCTTTTGCTAGTGAAAATAATAGTGATAAAAATAAGTTGGAAAAAGGGTTATTAGGGATTGAACGCTCTTAGAAGCGTGACAGTCTTTAGCTGCCGGGCTCTTGGCTTCAGCAAGCTACAGAATGAGTCTGCTTTCATAACTGCCTTTATTCTGCTGTTTCTCAATTCTTATTTTCTTCTCTACCAGAATCCTAGATCTACTTATTTTTTGAGTTTTTTCCCCTTTTCTTGCTTCTATAATATTTCTACCAAAATAAAGATAAAAATGAATTTCTTAAGACTTTAGTTTTTATCCATCTCTTCAAATATTTTTATCTGCTGCTTTTTTTAATTTAAAAAATAAAGTAGTAATTATAATGCAAATCACCTTTTCAGATCAGCTGTGTCTCAAAATGCTGTCTAAAAGCTGTATGGCCACAAGAAGCACCTGAATGGCTCAGTGAGTTAAGCATCCAACTCTTGGTTTCACCTCAGGTCATGATTTCATAGTTGGTGAGATCAAGCCCTATCCTGGGCTCTGTGCTGACACCATGGAGCCAGCTTGAGATTCTCTCTCTGTTCCCTCCCTCTCTCTCTCTCTCTGCCCCTCTTTCTCTCAAAATAAGTAAACTTTAAAAATCAATAAATAAAAAATAAAAGCTGTACAGAAAAAATAAAAGCTGTACAGCCAAGAAAGAACAGTGTTGACAGAGGCCTTGAGTATCAGTGTTGGAGTCAGACTCAAGTTCAAATAGTAGCTCTGCCACTTACTAGCACTGGACCTTAGGAAGGTTATTTCACTGAGCCATAAAATGAGAACATGAATATCCACTTATAGGTTGTTGAGAGAGAGGACTGAAGGAGTTAAAAGACATAAAGAAACCAGTATACTACAGTGTACTACACTTCATTTTTATGATTACTGCAGAGTGAAATTTCACTATATACCGGCCCCACCCCCAACCCGTCTGCCCCAGGATCTGTTGTGCCATGGCTCTAGTCACCTTCCCTCTGCTCTTTCTCTCTTTTTAATGTTTATTTTTAATTTTTTCAATGTTAAAATTTTATTTTGACAGAAGAATACAAGCAGGAGAGGGGGCAGACAGAGAGGAAGCGAGAGAATCCCAAGCAGGCTCCCCACTGTCAGTGCAGAGCCAGATGCCAGGCTCAAACCCACAGACTGTGAGAGCCAGAATCAAGAACCAGACACTAACCAACAGAGCCACCCAGGCACCTTTCCCTCTGTCCTCTTATGCAAATAAATTGTCTTCTAACATTCAAGAAAAGCAGTCAACTGGGTAAATGAGGGTTAGAAAGCTTTATGAGACTTTATCATTCTTAGTCCATGACATGATTTCTCAGTCTTGACCAAGGTTCCAACCTATTCTATAATTCCTAGGTTTTACCAATTTTCTTTACAAGATTAGATCTATACGCTAACATTTTTTTTTAAGAACGTTTATTTATTTTTGAGAGAGATACAGACAGAGTGAGACACAGAATCCAAAGCAGGCTCCAAGCTCTGAGCTGCCAGCACAGAGCCCATGGTGGAACTCAAATTCACAAACCGTGAGATCATGACCTGAGCCAAAGTTAGATGCTTAACCGACTGAGTCACCCAGGCGCCCCAATACACTAACATTTTAACATGGGAAACTGTTTCCCACCATGAGTTTAAGGAATAACACCAAGCTGACCAAAAGGCCCTTCTCAAATAAAGCAAGATGTTAAGGAAGACAGCCACAGACTCCACCTGCCCTTCTAGAACAATCCTGTGAAGCCACTGCTGCTCCAAATTGACTGATTTCTAGGCAATAATGTGGGTGACCTGAAAAACTGGAAAGTGCAGAGGGAGCTTGGTGAGAGTGGGCCCGAAGTCAAAAGCTAAGGAAGATGTCACATGATGTTGGAACCTACAGAGATCAGCTATAAAAGCTTATCCAAAAAAGTAATGGGTAAAACTCACTTCTGCAGGAGGATTAAAGAGAAAGACAAGGAACTGAATTTCAGGAATTTGATGAGAGAATTATACCAAAAAGGGGTATGTGATAGTGTGTGGAGTGGGACAAATTGGCTAATAAGTGTTCAAATGCATGAAGAGTAGGGAGGAGTTGGGAGAAAAGCCCCCCCCCCCGCCCCCCAGCAGATGCAGTGTTGCCTGCAGGCAGGGGCAGGGAAAGGTACGAGGTCTGAAAGCCTTTCATGTTATGGCTGCATCATGGGCCCCAATTGATTTTCAAGTCGCCTTTCCCCTCTTCCCCCAATTCCAGCAGCTTGATTCCACTGTCTGGGAGCAATGAGAGCGACTGGACACTCAGAGAGGAGAACTTTTCCCTGGCATGGTGCTTAGGTGGCCACTTACCTTAGGTTTTGCGTCTTTTGAAGGTAAGGTGGAAGGCCTGGCAGTGGTGGCGGCAGGGCGTTTGGGCGGGGCAGCCGGCACTAGGCCTGCAGCAAGGCTCATGGGTTTTTTATTCGACCCACCAAAGGTGGCGGGAGCCGGCTGCTTGGGGAGAGGAGTGGGCTGAGTTTTGGCTTTCGATGTTGAAGTCTTTGCAGGTTGAGTGGTGGCCAAAGGCTTTAAGTTGATTTGTTGTTTTTTTTTTTTTTAAAGGCCAACATCAAACACACAAACAAAAATAAAAACAAATTAAAAAGAAGTATGAATTGCACAATTCAAAGTAAAATTATAAGCAATGAGGATCTATGCAACTAAAAAGCAGCATTCCGTTCTTCTGAGCTTGGTAAATAGTGGAAAGAAACCATGAGAGAAAGAAAACTGGGAATTCATTCCTAATGTCAGTGTCACAAATTCTAGCAGTTTGGCACCTGAAGACTTAAATTCAGTGACAGGTTTAAACAATTAAGTAGCTTTTGGTGGCTGCTATAATAGTTCTAGGAAAATAAGTCACCAGCAGGTGATTAAGCTGTTATTATTTGTACCGTGATGGGCAACATTGGCATCATTTCAGGGCCACACTGAAGTGTGGCATTTGTACTCTGTAATAAGTACCAGTAAGTGTCTGAAGCCTTGATCCACCTTAAAATTCTGTGTTCCCTTTTCATGAATGCAGCTTGCAGAATCTATTTCCTAATAGTTTTGCAAATCCCTTTATTGTTGTTGTTAAGGGAAGCAGAAACACCCTCTACAGAATATTTCTACACATATTCAAGATAATGGGGTCAGGGTAGAGATTTTAAGGGTTGAGTTAGGCTACTATGGTAAAATATGGATATAAAATACGTTCTAAGAAGGTCCAAAATTGGAGAAGGACCTACTAATAGCTCAGAAAAAAGAAATTCCATTCATGATCCAAGCAATAGTAGTGGAAGATACAGTTTTAAAAAATGATAGTGGCAGAAGAGAGCCCAGCATTCTCGCACCTACCTTTGTTTTCTTCTCTGGGCTTGGTGGGAGCTCCTTGTTCGGAGGGGTGGTGATGTCATTTCCGGTCACACTCCCAGCAGGCCGTCCTTCTTCGGGCTTACTTATTCCTAAGAGGGGGGACAGTTATGCTAAGCAGATGTTTTTCATACCCATTTTGAAAATGCAAGTCTTAGTGGAGACAGACACTGACTGACTAGCACTTCAATCCAAACGAAATCCACAGGGCTGCTGTGCTATGAAATGTGGACAAATCTCCCCAGTTCCCCTCATTGTGACAGGATCGTTTTAGATTCCAGAGATCCAGGGAGCCTGTCCCGGTGGAGAAGCAACCTAAGTGGGATTTGCACAGATGACCAATGGAAGGAAATGGCCCTTGAAGTTTGGTTTCCCTTCCCTGGAGACCAGCAAAGGGGTTCTGTCACCCAACCACTAACTCCCGGAGCACAGAGGGGACAAAAACCTCTTCTACTAGAGTTTATCTCTTGCAATAAAGGTGGCTGAAAGATGGGATAAGAGCCAGAAGATCATCCAATGTCCTCCCCTTATTTCCTTTCCCTGTAAAGCACCACTTTATGGAGGATGTGAGATTAACTTGATCTGGTTCTAGCAGTGACCCAGATTTCCTAAAAGGCTGAGGAGACCCATGAAATCAGACCCAAGGCCAGAAATAGTCTACCACCTAAGGCAATGCCCAGCAGCACCCCTGTGGGGACGTAACTCCAGATTTCAATAGGGCTACACCTGAAAGCATTAAAATACCATGAAATTTATAACCTGAGTGTGGGAAAGACCTTTCTAACTCACACAAAATCCAGAAGCCAAAGATCAGTCTAAGGAAAAAGTTTTAAAAACTTCAATGACCAAAAAAAAAAAAAAAAAAAAAAAAGACAAGAAAAGAAGAAAAGTCAAAAGGCAAATGATAAACAGGAAAAAAATTTTGAATCTCGTATCAAAAATAAAGAGCTTATTTATATATAAAATACTCCTACAAATCACTAATTGCTGTAAAAGCCAACAACCCACTGGAAAAAAAAAAAAAAAAAAAAAAAAAAAAAAAAAAAAAAAAAAAAAAAAAAAAAAAAAAAAAAAAAAAAAAAAAAAAAAAAAAAAAAAAGACAAGAAAAGAAGAAAAGTCAAAAGGCAAATGATAAACAGGAAAAAATTTTTGAATCTCGTATCAAAAATAAAGAGCTTATTTATATATAAAATACTCCTACAAATCACTAATTGCTGTAAAAGCCAACAACCCACTGGAAAAATGGGCCAAAGGATATGAATACAGTTTACAGGAAAAGAAGTAAAACTGAAATACAATTTGAAAATAAAAGATGCCCACTTTTTCAGAGAAGCAAAAATTAAAACCACATTGAGATGCCATTTTTAACCTAACATAGTGTCAAAAGTTCTAAAATGTGAAAATAACCGGTGGGAATGATATGAGGATATTCACTACTGGTGAGCATGTGGAAATGGTACAGTTCCTATGCAGGCCAATCTACCAGTGTCTCTAAAAATTGTAGTGTACAGAAATTCTAATCCAGAAATTCAATTTCCAGAAATTTATCTTAGAGATATATTCACACACCAGCAAAATAGCAAATGTGTAAGGTCTTTCATCAGAGCATTCTTCCTAACAGCACAAAACAGAAAGTCTGTTAATAGAAAAGTGGTCAAACATCATGGCAGAAGTATCAGGTAATCTCTGCATCTGAAAAAATAAAGTATGACCGATAAGGAAATCATCTCTATTACATAGTGAAGAAAAAAGGAAGGTGCAGAATAGGAAGGCAACATGAAACCATCTGTCTAGAGAAGGGATGGGGGCAAAATACATTTCTAACGCAAATTCACTTGTGCATGCATTCTCAAAAGGCCTTAATTTGGGGAAGGGGGAATGGAGCACAGAATTAAGAGGGCAGCAGGCTTTATTCTAAACGTTTTAAAACATTGTGTTGAAGTAACTCTATTCACTAGAAGTTGCAAAGAAATGGACAGGGAGGTCCGGTGTACACTCCCCCCCTGCTCCCCCAGCACTGACACCCTGCATCAGTTTAGTACTCTACCAAAACCAGGATACCGATATTACTACAATCCACAGAGCTCACTCAGATGTTTCCAGTTCTACATGCAGCACTCATTTGTGTGTGTGTGCGTGCATGCACGTGCACACATATGCAGTGCCATGCAATTTTTGCACGTGTAGCTTTATGTAACCACTACTAACAATCAGGACAGATCGATGTTCCATTATCACAGGGCTCCCTCCTGTTACCTTTTATAGCCACCCTACCTCCCTTCCTTTTCTAATCCCTAAATCTCTGGCAACCACTAATCTGCTTTCCATCTCTAGAATATTATTTGAAGACTATTACGTAAATGGATCATACAGTATGTTACCTTTTCTGTCTGGCCTCTTTCAACCAGCATAATGCTTTTGAGATGTACTGGTGTTGTATGTATCAGTGGCTAGTTCCTTTTTACTGCTGACCATATCCGAGATATTCCATGGTACAGCTCTAATCACAGTTTAACCATTCACCTGCTGCAGCTACAAACACGTACAGGATTTTTATTAAAATAGTGTCACTGTCAGTGTATGGAAATGCAGTTAATTCCATCCTGTGACTTTGCTGAAATTACTTACTAGTTTTACGAGAGGTTTTTTGATAAATTTCTCAGAATTTTCTAGATAGACAATCATGTCATTTCCAAAGAGAGCCAGATCTCTTTCTTCCTTTCTAATCTATACGTCCTTTTATTTCCTTTTACTTTATTGTGCTAATCGGAACTTCCAGTGCGATAAGCAGGAGTGGTGAGGGCAGGCATCCCTGCCTTGCTCCTGGTCTTAACAGGGAAAGCACTCAGTATTTCACTATTAAGTATGATGTTACAGTAGTTTTTCTGTAGATGAGGAAGTTGGATCAATTTGAGAAAGTTCTCCCTCTAATCTTTGAGGAGTGTTTTTTCATAAACAGGTAATGAGTTTTGTTGAATGCATTTCTGTGCTTATATGGGTTTTCTTCTTTAGACTGTTGATCTGAGTTACACTGATTGGTTTTTGATTACAGGACCAGCCATGTAGATCTGGAATAAATTCCACTGGGCTGTTGTGTATAGGTAATTTTATATATTGCTGGATGTGATGTTAATATTTTGCATCTACATTCATGAGAGATACTGGTTTGTAGTTTGTTTTATTCTGTCTTTGTTTGGTTTTGGTATCAAATACAGACCTCATAAAATGAATCAGAAGTATTCTCTCCTCTTAAGATTTTCTAGAAGAGAATGTGTAAGATTGGTGTTAATTATTCCTTAAATGTAGGGTAAACCCCTACAGTGAATCCCTCAGCAACTTTTTAATTAAAAATCCAATTTTATTAATGGCTATTCAGGTTATCTATTTCCTCTTGGTTGAGTTTTGGTAATTTGTGGTTTTCAAGGAATTTCTTCTAAGCTGTTGAATCTGGGAGTGTAAAGGTGCTTCCCGTGTTCACTGATTATACTTTTAATTGCCATAGTGATATCCCCTATTCCTGATGTTAATGGTTTGTGTCTTCTTTTTATCTTTGACAATTTTGTTAAAGGTCTGCCAATTGTACTGGTATTTTTTAAGAATGAGATTTTGGTTTAATAAGTTTCCTTTGTTGTTTTCTTGTTTACAATTTCACTGATTTCTGCTTGCTTTGGATTTATTTTGTTTTTCCTTTTCTAGTTTCTTGATATATGTAGTGACTTAGGTTATCGACTTGAGATTTTTTCTCTTTTCTAATGTAAGCACATAGGGCCATAAATACCCTTCCCAGCATTGCTACAGCTGCATTCTACAGGTTTTGATATGTTCTCTTTTCATTTTTATTCAGTTTATTTTATATTTAATTTAAATTTTTATTTATTTTACATTTATTTATTTTGAGGGGGGGAAGAGAGACCAGGAAAGGGTGAGGAGGTGGGGGGGGAAGAAGAGAGCGAGAGAATGAATGAATGACTGAATCTCAAGCAGGCTTCGCACTATCAGTGCAGAACTAATGCTGGGCTAGAACTCACAAACCATGAGATCATGACCTGAGGTGAAATTAAGAGTCAAGATGCCTAACCAGCTGAGCCACCTAGGTGCCCCTTAAGTTTTTATTTTAATTCTAGTTTGTTAACATACCATGTGATATTAGTTGCAGGTATACAATTAAACACTTCTGTACAACACCCTGAGGTCATCACAAAGTTTGTTCTATTTGTTTTTTAAGGTTCTTTTCTAAATGTCTGTTTATTTTTTGAGAGTGCAAGATGGGGAGGGGCAGAGAGAGGGCGGGGAACAGAGGATTTGAAGCAGGCTCTGTGCTGACAGCAGGGAGCCCAATGTGGGGCTCGGACTGTGAGATCATCACCTAAGCCGAAGTTGGATGTTAACTGACTGAGCCACCCAGGAGCCCCAAGACTTTTTTTAAGTAATCTCCAGACCTGACATGGGACTTGAACTTACAACCACAAGATCAAGAGTTGTACCCTTCACTGACTGAGCCAGCCAGGCCCCCTCATTTTATTTTTAATTTTTCCTGTGATAACTTCCTCTTTAACCATGGATTATTAAGAAGTGTACTCTTTAATTTCCAAATGACTGACAATTTTCCTGTGGCCTTTCTATTACTGGTTTCTAATTTGATTCCATTATGGCCAGAAAACATATTCTGTTTGATTTTAGCCTTTTAATAAAGTACTGAACTTCATTTTATAGCCTACGATCCATCTTGGCAAATGTTCCATGGATGCTTGAACAGAATATAGCCACTTAAAAAAAATTAATGTTAACATGTTATGTCTTCTTCCATCTTTTACTTTCAATCTACCTTTCTTAGGACTGACATATATTTCTTTTTTTAAATTTTACAGACAGCGCAAACACTAGTGGGGAGAGGGGCAGAGGGAGATAGAGAAAGAGAGAGAGAGAGAGAGAGAGAGAACCTTAAACAGGTTCCAGGCCCAGCATGGAGCCTGACGCGGGGCTCAATCTCAAGACCCTGGGATAATGCCTTGAGCCAAAATCAAGAGTCAGATGCCTGACCGACGGAGCCACCCAGGCGCCCCTGATATGCATTTCTTGTACACTGCGTGT